TCAAATGAAGAAGTAAAAAAATGATGTAAAAAAAATATATTATTTTTAGATAAAGAAGAACAAAAAAAATTTGAATCTAATTTTAAATATAATTCAAAAATAAAACAAAAAGTAAATTCAGAACTTGAAATAAGAATAATTAATGGAATAAATTTTGAAAAAACTGTAAAAAAACATTTTTCAAATTTATATTCTTCATTTAATTTTGAAATAATAAAAAATAGATTTTCAATTCCAATTAAAAAAACAAAAAAATTATTAAATGATAAAAAATATAGTGTTTTTTATCATCCAACATTTAAATTTAATAATTATATTACTGAATGTGACCTTTTAAAACGTAATAAAGATAATTCTTTTGATATTTATGAAATAAAAGGTAAAGGTAACAGCGGAATTAAAACTGATAAAAAAGATTTAATAAATGATCTTTTATATCAAAAATGATTATTAAATAAATTAAATATTAAAATTAAAAATTGTTATATAGTACATTTAAATTCTGATTATATTTATAAAAAACAATTAAATTTAAATGAATTAATAAAAATAAATGATATTTTTAATTTTGATAAATTTCTTAATAAAAATATACAAGGCGATCTTATTGATGTTGAAAAATGATTAAATTATTCATGAGAAGATATTAAAGAAAAAATAGAAAATAATTCATTTTGTCAAGAAGAAAAAAATAATTTTTGTACATATTTAATAAAAAAACCATTACCAATGCATAATATAACACAACTTTACAGAATGAAAAGAATAAATAAAGGGAAAATATTATCAGAAAATAATTTTAAAGATATTAATTTAAATAACTTTAATTATACAAAATACTCAAAAATAATTAATCAAAAACATTTAAGACAAATTGATATTGTAAAAAATAATGCACCAGAAATTGAAAATATAGAAATAGCCAAAAATGAATTAAAAAAATATAAATATCCTATTTATTTTTTTGATTTTGAAACATGTCCAATTGCTATACCTATTTTTGAAAATTCAAATGTTTATCAACAAATACCATTTCAATTTTCAATACATATTCTTTTAAATAAAAACTATGATTTAAAAACAAAAAAAAATATAATACATAAAGAATTTATTATAAATTCTAAAAAAAATCCCAAAATAGAATTTATAAAACATTTTATAAAATATATTAAAGAATATGATTTTGGTACATATGTTGCATATCATATACCATTTGAAAAACAAATTATAAAAAAAATTCTTGAAAATGATGCAAATTTATTAACAAAAAAAGAAAAAAATATATTAGAAACAATAATTTTTAATATTGTTGATTTAAAAGATTTTTTTAGTAATTTTAATATTTATTTTAAAGATTTTATGGGTTCATTATCAATTAAATATGTTTTACCTAGTTTAGATCCTACCTTTTCATATAAAAATCTAAAAATTCAAAGTGGTGATCAAGCATTATCAAAATATTATAATTATATAAATAATTTAATTTCACAAGAAGAATGAGAAAAAAAAATAACAAATAATTTAAAAAAATACTGTGGTTTAGACAGTCTTGCAATGGTTGTTATTTTTGATAAACTAAAAAAAATAATAAATTAAAATATTTATCTAATTAAATTTTAAAAAATACTATATTTTTTTTATCTTTTAATAGTTTTCTGTATTTTAAAAATAAATTTGAATCATTTGATGTTTTCATTATTTTCTTTATTTTTTTAATTTTATTATCAATTTCTAAATTTTTACACTTATTAAACAATTCATTAAAAGTTTGATATTTTTTTAATTTATCAAAATTTAATGTTGTTTTAATAAAAAAATTATCTAATAAAATTTTTATTTTATTTTTATTAATTTTTAATTTTTCTATTTTTTCTAATATTTTTTCTTTGTCTAATAATAAATTATTTTGATAAAAATCAAAAATAAAATCTTTTATTTCTTCATTTTCTTTACTTTTAAATCTAAAATTTAAATAATTAAATTTTTCTCTAACTTCTTTAAAAAATAATAAAAAAGATAATAAAATTTCTTCATTATTTAATATATTATTTTGTGTTTTATTAACTAATTCAGATTGTTTTTTAATTTTAATATTTAATTTTTCTAATTCTTTTTTAAACAATTTATAAGAAATATTAAATTTTAATTCTACTTTTTTTAATCAATATTCTCTTTCTATTTCTGATAAATACAAAAAAAACTTTATTAAAATTTTAATAAATTCATCTTGTTTTTCTTTAGAAAATCCACTTTCATATTGATTTATCAAAAATTGAATTGGTTCTATTATTTGATTTTCTTTTTCTTTTAAAATATTTGGGTTACTTAAAAATAATTTATCAGGATCTAAATTTGTTTTATGATCAAAAATTAATGTTTTAATTTTAAAATCATATAACTTTAAAGAATTATTAATAGTTGATTTTCTACCTGCAAAATCACCATCTGGAACAATGATTACTTTTTTAAATGATTCTTTTATTAAACCAATTTGTTCAGAAAATAACTCAACACCTAAAGTTGAAACTGTTGGATAACCTAATTCTGTTAATCTAATTGCATCTAAAAAACCTTCAGTTAAATAAATTGTTTGAACATTTTTAAAATTATTTCTTATATTTATTAAATTAAATAAAATTTCTTTTTTATTAAAAACATCTGAATCACGTGAAACTATAAATTTTGAAATTGTTTTTAAATTATAAATTGTTCTTCCTGAAAAACCAACCAAAACATTTTCATAATTTGTTAATGGAAACAATAAACGATCCTTAAAATAATCAATTAATTCATGTTTAAAATTAAAATTAAATAATTCTGTTTTTAATAATTCTTTTTCATTAAAACCTTTTTTCAATAAAAAATTTATTGATTCTAAACCATTTTTTGGTGCAAAACCTAAATTGTATTTTTCTATAATTTCTATGTTAATTTTTCTTTTAATTAAAAATTGATTTAATTCTTTTGTTGGATTTAAAATTTTCATTCTATAAAAATTTTGTAATTCTTCTAATATTTCTAATTTTTTATTTTGATCTTGATTAATTTTATTTTTATTAATGAATTCTTCATCAATTTTTAAATTAAATTTTTTTGCAATAATTTTATATGCATTTAAAAATGAAACATTTTCAAATAAAACAACAAATTTTATTGCTGTTCCACCAGTTCCGCAAGAAAAACACTTAAAAATTTGTTTTTTAGTTGATACAACTAAAGAAGGATTATTATCTTTATGAAATGGACAAAGTGCTATAAAATCTTTCCCTTTTTTATTTAATATTAAATATTCTTTGATAACATCAAAAATATCTACTTTTTCATTTATTTCTTTATTAAATTTATTGAACTCTAAATTCATTTATAAATCAATTCATTAAAAATTATTTACTTATTATTTTTAATAAATTATCAAAAAATTCTTTATTATAATTAAAAATATATGGAAAAAGATTATTTCCAGCATGTCTTATTAAAATAAAAGCTTTGTGTTCTTCTTCATGATTTGAATGATGAAATTTTGAAAAATTATTACCATGAGGATATTCTTTTAATAATAATTTTAAAATTGTATATGAATAATTAACTAAAAAATATTTTTCATATTCAAGATTTTGTAAAACACCATTATCACTATTCATTTTTAAATTTTGATAATTATTTTCTAATCAACTCTTAAATTCATTTTCTGTTATTTCAAATTCTTCAATTGATAAATCAAAACTTTTAATTTTTTGATTTCACAAATTATTTTGTTCTTCATCTAAAAATTTTAATTTATAAAAAAAATCTTGAAAAATTTCTAAAATATTTTTTATATCTTTAAATTTAAATACTCATTTTGTAACATTATCTTCAATAATTGTTTTTTGAATAAATTTTCAAACTTTTAAAAAATGAATTAATTTTTGTTTTTTTTCATCTGATTCATTTAAATATAAAAAATCTATATATTTATAAAATTGTGAAAAAGAACCTCTTCTATGTACATTAATACTACTTTGATTTTTTATATTTATAATTGATGTCAAAATACTTTCAATAACTTTTCTTGATAATGATCAAAATAAAACATAATTAATATTTCTTTCAAATTTAGATATTTTATTTTCTGAAAAAAAAGTATTATTAACTAATTTTGAAAATAATAAATAATCAGTTTGAACTAAATCTTCAATTCTTAATTCAATTAAAAATCTTTTACTATCATTAAAAATTCTAAATAATCGACTATCATTTCTGTTACCATCTTCATTTATAAAAAAATTTAAAAATGATATTTTATGTGAAAGCATTAATGTTGAATGTATTTTTTTATTTAATCCAAATTTTTTAATAAATTCAAAAATAAAAAAATCAATCAAAAAATTGTCAAAATAATCTAAATAATCACTTACATCATCTAAAACAATAATGTATTTAACATCTGTTTTATCATTATAAAAATATTCTTTTAATGAAATAAAAAATGAAAATAATGCTAACATTTTCTTTTGTCCAATACTATCTAAATTTTTAAAATCTTTTGTTTTTTCAAAATAATTTAAATCAAAATTTTTATTTATTAAAAATAATTCTTTACTTATATATTCTATAATTTTGTCATTTATTATAAAATTATTTACAAATTTTCTATCAAAATAAAAAAATTTAACATTATTATTATTTTCAAAATATTTTCCATCAACATTTTTTAATTGATCAACTAAACTTGTCTTACCAGTACCATCAGGTCCATATATAAATAGATGTTTAATTCCATTATTATTTAATATATATTCACCAAATTGATGAAACTTAAATACTGACTCATTATCTTTACATTTACATTCATTTTTATACAAACAAAATAGCTTATTATTATTTATAAATTTCATTATTATATTTTAAACCCCATAAATTATATATTAAATATTATAATCAAATAAAATAATATTAAATTAAATTATTTTAATAATTTTTTATTTATTTCAATTTATCAATTATAATATTATTTAAATGCCCAATTAGCTCAGTGGTTAGAGCGGTTCCCTGTTAAGGAAAAGGTCACAAGTTCGAATCTTGTATTGGGCGCCATTTTTAAATGGCCCGTTGGTGAAGTGGTTAACACACTGGTTTTTCACACCAGCATTCAGGAGTTCGAGTCTCCTACGGGTCACCATAAATTAACTTTTTATACTTAAATTAATAATTTCTTTTTCTCATAATTTTATTAATTTTTTATTTTTATTATATTTATCAACTTTTAAATTTTTAACCATTAAAAAAATATTTTTTTTAGAAAAATTAATATTTTTTAAATTTTTATTTCATTCATTTTCTTTTTTATACAAATCTATTTTTAAAAAAGAAAATTCTAAAATATCTATTTTTTTTATTTCTTTTAATAAATTAATTAATGTATCATTTTGTATTAAATATCAATATTGATTTAAAAATATATAAAAAGAATAAGAAATTTTTTTATTTTCTATAATTTTTGTATTATTTAATAAATAAAATAAATTTTCTAAAATCAAAATTAATTCATTATAATTTTTTTTTAAAATTAAAATTTCAGTTTTTATATTATTTGTTTTCATATATTAATTGTTATAAAATATATTTTAATGGAAATAAAAGAATTAATTAAACAAATTAAAAAAATTGCAGAAACAGCATATTGTCCTTTTTCAAATTTTAAAGTTGGTTGTTTAATAGAAACAAAGGATAATTCAATATTTTTAGGACATAATATTGAAAATTCTGCTTTTCCTTCTTCAATATGTGCTGAAGTAGTTGCTTTTTCAGCATTTAATATATCTGGCAAAAAAGCAAAAGATATAAAAAAAATACTTATTTATAATTCAAGTAATTTTATTTCACCATGTGGTAATTGTAGACAAATAATGGTTGAATTAGCTAATTTAGAAACTAAAGTTTTATTAATAAATGGTAAAGATGAAATTATTGAAACGAATATAAAAAAATTAATGCCATTTTCATTTAAAACAAAAAAATTTAATTAATAAAAAATATTTTATTTATTAATTAAATCTTTTTCTTCTTTTAATAATGGAAATTTTTTAATTAAATCAGGTCTTTTTTTAATTGTTTTTTTTATAGATTGAATTTTTCTTCATTTTTCTATATTTTTATGATGTCCAGATAATAATACTTCTGGTACTTTTTTACCCAAAAAATTTCTTGGTTTTGTATATACAGGAAAATCTAATCTACCATCAATTGTAAAAGAATCATTTTCTTTTGATAAATTTTTAATAACTTTTGGAACTAATCTTATTAATGTATTAAAAACAACTAAAGAAGATAATTCTCCACCAGTTAAAATATAATCTCCAATTGATATTTCAAAATCTACAAAATCACGTATTCTTTCATCAAAACCTTCATAATTACCAGAAATTAATAAAATATTGTTGTTTTTGTTTTCAAGTATTTTTTTTGCTTGATTTTGATTTCATATATTACCTTGTGGTGTTAATAAAATAGTTATTAAATTTCCATTTTTATCTGTTTTTAACTTTTGTATCACTTTATATATTGGTTCAACCATAAGAACCATACCATTTCCTCCACCAAATTGAAAATCATCAACTGTTTTATGTTTATCAATACTAAAATCTCGTAAATTTATTAAATTAACACTTATATATTCATTTTTAATTGCTCTTTTAACAATTGAATGATTCATAAAAACTTCAAATAAATCTGGAAAAATAGATAAAAAATAAAAATTTAATTTTTTCATAATAATAAATTTATTTTAACTTTTTTTATTTAAAACATTAATTCTTTAAATTTTTTTGTTAAAAATAAAGTTTTTGTTTCTTTATTTACATATTTAATATATAACTTTACAAATGGTACTAAAATTTTTTTATTTTTACTTTTAATTTCTATAATAGGATTTGAAATTGTTGAAAAAAAATCTATTATATTTCCTATATTTTCACTTTCAAAATTACAATCATATCCAATTAAATTTGGTAAATAAGGTAATTTTGATATTTCTTCAAATTGTTTAGATGTTATTTCTAAAAATAAATCTTTTAATTTTTTTACTTCATTTAAACTATTAAATTCTTTAAATTTAATTATTTGTCTATTTTTTTTAAAAAAATACTTTTCTATTTCAACAAAAATATTATACTTTTTAATAAAAATCTTAATTCCTATTGGTAAAACAAATTTTCCAATTCATGAAAATTTTTCAAAAACAATAAAACCATTTAAACCATGGAATCTAATTATTTTTCCTATTTTTAATAATTTTTTATTTTGCAATATCTATAATTATTTGACAATTATTTAAATAACCTTTAATTTTAACCAAATTGCTAATTGTATTTATTGTCTCACCATTTTTTCCAACAACTCTAGATAAATATTTTTTACCAGGTGAAATTACAATTTGTATGACTTTTTTTTCAAAATCACTTTTTAACAATTCTGATTGAATAACATATATTGAATTATCTTTGCCAAAAATATTATCAATTATTTTTTTTACAAATTTGTCATACATTATTTAAATAATAAAAATTTTATTGTTTTTCAATATCTTTTTTATTTTCTTTTATTTTATTTTTTGTGATTTTTTTTTGTTTTAATATTTCTTGTTTTTTTTCTGTAAATTCTTTAATAATTTTTTGTTTTTTTAAAATAGATCTTACAGTTTCTGTTGGTTGTGCACCATTTTCTAATCACTTTAAAACAGATTCTCTTTTTATATCAACTTTATTTTCTAATGGAAAATAATGACCAACTTTTTCCAAAAAAATTGCATCTCTAGCTCTTCTACTATCAATTGCAACAATTTGATATGATGGTGAATGTTTTTTTCCAGTTCTTCTTAATCTTAATTTAACCATTTTTTTTATTTATTAAATCCAATTGTTCCTACAATATATTGAATAGTTTTAAAAACACTTTTTATAAATGAAGTTTCATAATCAAATCAAATTCCAATTTTTAAAATAGATGTTGTTTTTTTATTAACAATTTTTATTAAATTTTTATTTATAACACCATAAAAATCACTAGAAACTATATCTTGTGAAACTAATTCATCTTCTGAATAACCAATCAATCCATTAACCTTTTCTTTTATTAATTTATTAAATTCAGTTAAATTATAACTTTTTTTATTATAAAAAGTTATATTCATTAAAGCGCCAGTTGTTACAGGAACTAAAGAAACATCTCCAGAATATGTAATGTTTTCATTATTTTGTGATAAATTTTCTATTTCATTAATAATATTTTCATAATCTAAAGATGGAATTATATTATTAAATAATGAACGAGAAAATTCAAATGGAGTTTCTTTTATATCAATAATTGAATCTAACATTACCATATTTGTCTTTGGTCCTTTAATAATATCAAAATTAATATGATTTAGATCTAAATTTAAATTATTTTCTATTAATTTCATTATTGTTGTTTCAATATTTGGAATTTTAATTACATTATTTTTTTTAATATCAATTTCATTATTTTCTAATCCATAACAATTAATTTTTCCAATTTTATTTAAATGAAGTTTATTATTATTTAAAATTACAACTTTTGATTCTAATTTACTTAATTTTTTAATTTCATCAACTTTTTTTTCAGAAAGATCAACAATAATATCAACTGAATTATTTTTAACAAATGTTTTGTTAAATAAATTTGGAGGTAAAATTTTAATATTCATCTTTGTTTTACCTTGATAAACAATATGTACACCTGTTTTTTTATCATTAACTACAATAAATTTATCAGTAGTTGATTTTCCATGATTACTATCATATTTTAAAAATTTAATTATTTCTTTTGCTGAAAATTTTGTTACAATTGCAACAATATTAAAATTTTCACTAAAATCTAATTGAAAAAATAAATTTTTTTCTAATCTTCCAAAATTAGCAAATAAAACTGTTGGTTTGTTATTAATATTATTTTTTTCTTTCATATTTTATATTTTTAATATTATATATTAATTTAAATAATATAATTTAATTTTAAAATTTTATAAAGATTTAATAAATAAATCAATTAAATCTTGATAATGATTTGTAGCAAAATAAATTAATTTATAATTTTTATTTGAAATTCTTTCAATAATAATTGAATATTTTTGATTTTCAATTTTATTTTGATATTGAATAAGTAAAAGTTTTTTATTTTCTATTTTTAAATTACTTGAATATCTTAATAATTTTGCATTTTTTGTAATAATTTTATTTCATTTAAATTCTTTATTTTGTGTTTGTTCTAATCTTAAAAAAAAGTCTTCTATATTTAATTCAGATAATAATTCTTTAATAAAATTAATTTTTTTATTATCAATTAATTCATAATCTAATCAAATATTAATTGTTTTAACCATCTCATCATAAAATCATTTTATTTTTTCAATTAAACTTACATTTAAATCACCATATTTTAAAGCTAATGTTTTATATTCAATCATATTTTTTAAGCCTAAAATATTTATAATTTCAGTAAAAAATATAAACTTTTCAATATAATCAAAACCTTTATTTCTAACATTTATACCTTTATCGACATTAATTCCATTTTCTATTACTGAATAATCTAATTTTATTGCTTCCATAATTTTTGAAGTTATAAATTCATCTGAAATAAAAATAAGAGTTAAATATTTAATCATAGTTTGTAGTGAACTACTTATTTTTATTCCATGTAATTTTATAATTATTTTAATAACAAAATCAATTAATTTACTTTCATTAAATATTTCGTTATCAATTTGAAAATTTATTCTAAAATTCTTTAATATTGCTTTAATAATAAATTTATAAAAATTTATTGCATTTTCTTTATTATTTTTATAATAATTATTTATTAAATTAACAACATTTTTAAAATCAATATTTTTATTTAATTCAGGGTTTGGAGTTATTTTAAAAATCAAATATTTTATCAATCTATAAATAAACTTTAAAACATTACTATATCCAATTTTTTCACGCATTTCAATACCAATTGTTGGTATGCAAATTTTGTTTTGTTGAGTTGAATATGTACCAAATAAAGGTATTTGTATGTTTTTTGGAATT